TCCTTGGAGGCCAGGATGACCAAACTTTGTCTTTCATACTTCAGACATATTGTCTGGAGGGACCAGTCACTAGAGATGGATGTCATGTTTGGTAAGGTGAGGGCTCAGAGATGAAGAAGAAGAAACCCAGCGAGATAGATTAGCCACGTGGCAGCATCAGTGGGGTAAAGCGTGACAACAATTGTGAGGTTGTCCCAGGACTGGGCAATGTTTCCTTCTGTTGTACATAGGATTGCTATAGTTGGTACCGACTCAATGACACCTAACAACAACAACAGCATCTAAGTTACCCATTCCTATCTACTCTGTATATGGAGGGGATAGCATTGATACTTGATATGAAGACTCCTTCCTTCTGTGTTGGTATTTTGAACTGCTACATCTATGAGTATAGGCCAAGGTCATCAAATTGTAGTAATTTACCCTTGTTTCCTTTATCAAAAAATTTTTTTCTATCTTCCTCTAGTCGAGTTTTGATTATCAAGCCATTGAGACTAGGTCAAATGGGTACTGTCTGTAGGTCTGGGTGTTCTTGTGCATCTCCCCTTATATCAGCTAGATGCATCACTCTCAGCTCTAGCCCTCTGTGGCTATGTCCTTGTATATGGGCTCAAGTGTCCCGAGGTCTCACCACACTTTGGACCAACCAGCCCTTCCTCCTCTCACTCTCATCTCCAAGGCAATGGGAGTCAATGGACTGTGGTTGAACTCAGCCCATTTCTTCATTGCTGCCTTTCCCCTTCTTCCACTCACCAGTACACCAACATGGTTGCCAGCAAGCTGGCATGCCTGTTCATGTGTTCCATTTGAGTTTCAGTCTTAGAGGAGGGTTTGTCCTGAAGGGACTTGCTTGCTTGTCTTGATGGCTCCTCTGGGTCTGTTTCACTCAATGGCATTAGGTTTGGTTTGGGGTTTCCATGATGGTAAGGAACCCTTGTGGTACAGCAGTTAAGCACTCAGGTGAAGGGTCAGCAGTTTGAACCCTCCAAAGACCTGGTGATCTGTTCCCATAAGATGACAGTGAGGACACCTGCTCCGTCACTGGAGGGCAGCTCGAGTTGAAATCAGCTGGGCAGCATCAACAACATTGCATTACATTAGTGAACCTGCTGGTGCCACACTCAAACCCTGGTGTCCTCAACCCAATGTCTTGGTGTCCTTCTGAGAGCCCCTTTTCCTTGACATACATACTTAGGAAAGGAGCTCTGGTAGCGTAGTGGTTACGAATCGGGCTGTGAACCTTAAGGTCAGCGGTTCAAAACTACCAGCTGCTCCGCGGGAGAAAGATGAGGCTTTCTGCTCCCGTAAAGATTTACACCCTCGGAAACCCTGTACAGGGTCGTTATGGGTCGGACCCGACTCGATGGCACTTAACAACAACAACAACAACACATACTTAGGAACTACATTTCAAGACCCTCCATAAAGATTAGTCTGTCAGAATCAATGTAACACACAGCAACAGTTGTTAAATACCGTCAAGTCGATTCCGACCCATAGCAACCCTGTACAGCAACAGCAGACAGACGCTTAAATCCTAGGGGTGCTTTGTTACTACGAGGTTCTCTTTGTCTAAATTGTGTACATTTAGGAAGTCACCCTTGTTGTTTAAATCGGGGCTACTTTATAGATGGATAGAGTTAGTTCTGTAATTCATTATGCGTGGAATGTGGTTTTGTGATACTTACCCACAGGATTCTTTTTCATCTGTAGAGCACGTGGCGAACATCTACGAATTAATATTTAAATAAGAGCCTTTTCCCTGAGGCTTTAGAAGTGGTAGGTGGCTCATAGTTTTGTGTCGTTTTTGTTTCTTAACGAACGATAGGGAATTGTGTGTTCACGCAGAAATGATTTGATGTCACACTTGAGTTGATTGACGCATCTGCATGAGGGGCCTCAGAAAGTCTGTGGAAACAGGTTTTCCAGCAACCCCTGATTCATCAACAGCATTAACTGAGTGCTGAGTGTGTATGGGCCATTGTCCCTGAGCCTGTGGCTCTTCAGATCTGGTGTTGGCGGGGGGAGCGCTAGAGCAGGTCAAGGGGGTCCTGAGAAAAGGATGAGGCATGGGACCATCCTTGGGAACTTGGGACTTGGAAGGGCCTAAGTGGACGGGCATGTTTTGGAGAGCCAGTGCAGACAAACATCAGTGGTGGGCATCTTGCTTCGTTGTTCCTTGGGATGTTCGGGATGACCGGAGCCAGGAGGGTGGACAAGGCACGGACCTGGATCAGGGGCCTCTGAAGGCTGGCCTAAGACCTCCCCGGTTGGACTTGGAGGGCAAGCAGGGGTCCGCCATCAGCTTTGAATCCTTACAAAGGTGGACCCTAGTGGGCTATATTAAAGACGGATTTGTGATGGTTCAAGATGAACAACAGAGCACCCCATTGGGAGGCACTCGGGACCCCAGGGAGAGACAGGGCTGTCTGCAAGGAGGGCTGGGGCTGGATGTGGGCCAAGAGACATGGGCAGGGCTTTCCACAAGAACCATTCCCCCAATGCAGGAAGTCTGAGTGTGAACCCAGTGAAGTCTTGAGCTGTTGGGTGGGGACCAGCAGCCTTCAGCACCCTCCCTCATCTGTGGAGATGTGATCAGGGCAGTAGTTAGCCTGTGTCCTCATTGGGAATGGGGGAGTGAAAATGCTCCATGCCTATAACAAAGCACAACTCAGTAAGCATCCGCATGGCATAGCGCTGGATTGCTAAACCCAAGGTTGGTAGTTCAAACCCACCAGCTCCTCTTTGCAAACCTCATATGCAGTCACTAGGAATCAGAACCGACTTGATGGCACTTAACAATTGTTGCAAAGCCGTTTCTATAAAAACAAGCAGCTTGTTGTAGGGCCTAAAGCGCGTCCCTGGGCGGCGGATGTGTGTGCCCATTGTGAATAAGCAGGTTGGAAGACAGCTCTGTGGAAACAAGCTTTTTTGCCTTATTTTCTCAGCTGTCTTTAGCTCTGATGAAGTTTGGCCGTGGTTGTGCCCAGTTCCTTGTTCCCTGGAAGAGTGCACAGGAAAATCATGGCGTGAAGAAATATTGTCAATGTGAACGTAGTTCTCTCCTTTGGTCATCTCATTGGTGAATCTGTGTGATTGGTTGCTACAAAAACCACCACAAAATAGTTGCCCGGACTTGGCCATGATCACATTTGAAATTCCTGAAAATTGCAGACACGGAAATGCCAGAAAGAAAGATAGTATTGCTTTCTACAAAAGCGTACAATTCACACAGCTGTACAAGAGAAACCAAACTGCCCAAAGAACATTGGTCCTCACTTTTGGACTAAACCAAACCACCAGACCGCTGCCGGCAGTGGATTCTAACACGTCGCGACTCTGTAGGACTGAGTACCACCACCCAGTTTGGTTTCCGTAGATCATGGGAGCACACTGCCGTCTCTTTCTCTCGCGGAGCAGATGGTGGGTTTGAACTGCGCGCTCTTGGTTAGCAGCTCAGCACTTAACCCTGGACACCACCAGTGCTCCTTACCACAAGAGAAGCACTCGGCTGATTCTGCCCACCAGCCCTCTCAGCCCCCAGTATTTCTAGTGCGAGGTTTGCAAGCACGGTGGCTGTCACCGGGATACATGAAGTGAGAAGAAGTCTGTCTGCCGTCAGTCCTGAAGCTGTGATGTGACACACGGCAGGGCATCCCCTGGGGTCATGGCTCCCACTGCCTCTCCTGACCGTCCAGTCCCCCAGCCCTCCTCTGCTGTCCCACCTGGTCGTCGTTTATAGGACTTGGTGAAAACCCTCCCAGGTTTGGCCAGACAGACATGGCAGCATTTGGGGGCTGTCACTCAGCTGTATGCCAGCTTTACAGTATGGGCTTTTGCCTTCTTCAGGAATGCTGCCAATCCCATCCCCTCAACCTTTTTGCCAAAGCTGGTTCCAACATAATGATTTGCTTTTCTTTTTCTGCTACCCCCGCCCTCCCAGCCCCCTTAACTGTTTATTGCTTGCTCCTTGAGCCAAGTTAGTCTATGGCTCCTCTTTAGTTAGGGGTTTACCCCACTCCCCTCTCTGCCTTGACACCCACTAAGGAAGGTTCTTTTGGTGTGAAACCTTTTCTTGACTTCAGGCAGTCGTGGTCTCACACAACACTGGCCACTGGGATTGAGGTCTCTTGGCAGCGTATGTGCAGGTCTAGTCAGGTTAGGAGGTGCTTCTCCGGGCCACTGACTTCTTCAGCGCTGTACAGTGCTCCACTCCTTGACTTATTAGCCAGTCTTCAGGGACGGACACTTTCGTTCTTGTCTTCTTGCTATCGTCAGTAGCGCCACAGTGAACATGAGTGTACATACATCTATCTGTGTTGTGGCTGTTATTTCTCAAGAATATACAAGAGGGCTTTTTCATTCATGGGAAAGTGCAAAAGAATGGGATATTCTGACAGACCTCTGTATACCAATAGTAGGATTGCTAGGTCATACGGTGTTCTGTCTGCCATTCTTCCATTTGAAACGGATCCATTTCTAAATCACATGACTAGTAGTTATTGTTGCGTCAGCTCTGACTCACAGGGACCCCACTTGTGCAGGATGATGTTTCCAGCTGTTTCCTTCCTTTTGGAAGCAGATAGCCAGGTCTTCTGAGGCACCTATGAGCAGGTTTGAACTGTCACCCTTTCAGTTAGTAGCCCCATGCTCCACCGTTCACAGCACTGATTTCCTTGGAATCTCTGGGAGTGACCTGAGAAGCTTCCTCTGTAAGGCCACAATGTGATGTTAGAGGCGCTTGTTCCATTCTGCATGATGGCAGGGAGATAGATGTGTCTTGCCTGGAGCCCGGGCCCTTGTGTGTTCCTGGGGTTGGTGGGAAGGTGAGTCGGGAATCTGCCTGAGGAGCCGCACTTCAGAAATGAGTTCTCTCTCCTTGTCTCCTTGTCTCCTTGTGTCCTTCAGGGGAGAGTTCATCATAATGCAGAGCCCGTCCAAACAGTGCCTCTCAGAAAGGGGACCTAGAGACACCGGGCCCCTTTGCCCGCTGCTGACAGGACCCCTCGGAACCAGCTGGAAGACTCCCTACTGAACACCTCAAGTCCTGGAGCCGATGTGCTGGCGTGAGAACCGCTGGAGCACACTTGTCCTTCCCCCCAAATCAACGAAGACGCTCTCAAGATTCCATGTATATATTCTCGACACAGACATGTGCTGACTGCCCACAGCCCCCAGCTTTCCCCACAGCAGCCCTACTGGCAGGCACTGTGTGAGCCGAGCCGAGTTGGAGACACTGGAAAAGCGAGATTTGTGTGGACTGGACAGTGAAGGCGCGAAGCTGTGACCGGACCCGGTGGACACGCAGAGGACTGGAGCGAACGTCCGATGGTGGAGGCTCACCATCCAGGGGGGCTGAGGGGTCAGCACAGGCGTGGGAGGGGCGCACTTCATTCAGGTGCTGGAGGGGCCAGGCAGGCTCTGTGCGCCCCATCACGTGTAAGCACAGCTGGGGAACTGCTTAGCTTCCGCTTCAGCAAACAGTTAGTTGAACACTAAGCAAACAGCAGCTTGTTTGTTTACTCTCAGGACCTTTTCGTATCAGGGCTACATCGTGCAGGCGGCCGCCGAGGAAGCTGCAGCCACCCAGCCCGCCCGCTCCCCTTGGCTCCAGTCGCTGCAGAAGAGTCCTGGGTCCTCCTTAGGGTGCTCGGTGCTCTGGGACCTCTGCTCCCCGCCTCCCCCTCCCCACCTCAGCCAGGGGCCCCTGGCTGCCTGGGTGGCGGTCACCGGGCCCATGGCTGGGGGAATTGCTTTATATACCTCTTCTTCATTACTCTTTCAGATGCAAGTTGTTTTTGTGGTGGGGGTAAGGCCCTTCAACCACGCACGCAGCGTCCGCAGTTCAGACTGTTCCACAGGTTAGACTCCCCTTCCGGTTACTGTGGCACCACGTGTGCCGGTGAGCTGGCTGAGATGCTCAGAGTTTTGCACATATGATTTTATCAAAAGTACCTGCTGCCTTGAATGAAGATGTTCTGTGAAATGTTTTGCAAAAGCTTTACTAGGTCTTTTTTTTTTTTTTTTTTAATTGTGACATTTTGTAAAGGCAGGAAATGGATTAAAATGAGCATGCTAAAATATATTTTTCAAAAAGAAAAAAAAAAAAGCAATAATTTTACATGTACAGAAAATGAACCTAACCTTTATTACCAAGGAGAGCAACCGTTTACTAAGACACTCCTGGATCAGTGCGTTTTTTGTAGGCACCAGGCTTCGGAAACACAGACTTTGTTTTAAACACACACATACACACCCGTACCCATAAAATGTGGGTTTCCTGTTTTAAAGATTGGTTGAATTATTATTATTGTTGCTGTTATTGTTATTAGTTAATGTTTGGTTCTGGATTCTACTTGTTCCTGAGTTCAAATTACTTGACGGTTCAGCGTACTTTGCAATCACTGCAATGTAACTGGCTAGCTTATATAATATATATATATATATATATATATATATATATATATATATATATATATATATATATTATAAATCTTATGTTTTTTACACTTATTTTTTCGGATCTGCTCACGCCAGTATGTTGCACGTCCTGCCGGGTAGGTTTCAGGTTAGGAAGGGCTGCGCAGGCGTACTAAGTTGATGGTGACGGTGACGCATGCACTGTAGCGACCCGGTCACCTGCGACTCAAAGGACCTTTCTGTGGCTCTGTGTCAGGCTCATCGGCCCTCCGCCCCTTTTGGCTTCTCTCTTCGCCACTGTAAATACACGGTGGCCATTCCGGAGCTGGCCGCGCTCCCGTCTGTTTCTGTTAGTGATTAAAGAAGTTCGCTACCCAAAGCCACGCCAAGGTCTAGCGTACATCTGTGCGATATCAGGAGCGGCCCCGAGAGGCTTAGCCAGCGTGGCTGGGCACGGGCTGACATGTCGCTGCCAGCCGGGGTCGCTCCAGCAGAACGTCTAACCAGTCAGGCTTCCAGGAGACCCCCGAGCCGAGGGGTCGTCTTGACCAGCCGTGTGCCAGGGGCAGTGTCCTAAGTGAGGTGTCGTTCACATCCAAATGAGCGTCAACCTCCAAACAAATCACGTTCCGGCACCACCCCGTGGCCCCTTCCTCACCTATCAGCAGCCTCCATACAAACCACAGTCATGAGAACACGTGGCCCCTTCCCCACCTATCGGCAGCCTCCACACAAACCACAGTCATGAGAACACGTGGCCCCTTTCCCACCTATCGGCAGCCTCCAAACCACATTCTGGCGTGAACACATGGTTCTTTACCCACGAATCAGCAACCTCCTAACAAACCACATTCCAGCGTGAACACATGGTTCCTTCCCCACGAATCTGCAACCTCCACACGCACTACGTTCCCGCGTGAACATATGGTCACTTCCCCACCTATCGGCAACCTCCAGACATCACTTGGCATGAGCACATGGTTCTTTCCCCACCTAACCACGTTCCGGCGTGAACACGTGGCTCCGCCCCCACGCATCAGCAGTATTGTATGGGTCATCCTATTGAATAGGATCTGTGTTTGCTTATTTATTTAGCCAATATGTTTTGATTCTTTTTTTTTTTTTTTTTTTTTCCTATGGGAATAGTCAGTTTCCACAGGATACACTCCTGTAACCCAGCTGTGACTGTTAACAGACTTTCTACTACCTCTAGCGGCCTGCTCCTTCTTTGTTTCTGACCAGATTTTTACAGTGTTGCTGTCCCATGTAACCTAGACAATAAAGGGTTGACTTGTCTACTCAGCAGCTTCTTCGTGTCTGCCCCCTGCCCCCTAGCCCTCGCTCCTTCCGGCTCTGCACCTCCTTTTCATCTCCTGCTCGAGTTGCTTCCTCACCTAGAACTGAAATCACACAAAAGCAGTGAGCTTCTAAAACTCCTTCAGGGCATTCACTCATCCCCCTTAATCTGAAGAATGAACATTCTGAGTTCTCTGGAACAACCGGGTGTGGTCCACAGGGCTCTCACCCTCCTGCCTGGCTTCAATCCCAAGCAGATAAATGCCACCCTGGTCAGCACACACATGGACAAGCCAAGTGGAGTTTATTATTGCGATTATTTTTGACTTGAAAAGTAGAGAATGTCTTATGAGGTTAGCCGATATTTATTTGTTTTCTCTAAATCCAGGCAGACACTGGCTTGCTGGAAGCAGGGTGCTCTGGGTGCTCATGAGGAATTGCACGCGGTCATGTCCAGGCGGGAGGGACGCTGATTTTGTGAGGGCGCCAGCTCAGCCAGGACGCCCTGATTGGTGCTCGGGTTGCATCCAGTAGACGTCATGCCCCCCAGGTCTTTGAAGGCAGCGTGGACACACAGTACGTCCATCGAGAGACAGCAGCGTTTTCTTGGCCTAGCCAGTGAGCGGCCCTCGGCGTGCGTCCTGGATCCTCACGGCCCGTCTCTTACAACCTTCCTTTAAAACAAGACAACACACACATCCGAAGGGGTGGCTGTCGCACGGAAGGAAGGAATGGAAGGACTATGTATCTCACTTTCCCCTCGTCCAAAACTTCCGCAGCACCATTGGCTGCGTTTAACTTGGGCGAGTTCTAATTGCAGAATATTTTATTCACTGCAAAAAAAGAAAAAAAGAATTCAACAGCCCTTGCCTGACTTTAGGGGGAAGCTCCCTACAGATCAGTAGGATCTTCCTGGCTGAGGGTTACCTACCCATGATCACCCCCTAATATTAATATGCAGGTGGAGGTGATGAAGTGACCCCCACCCCCACCAAATGTCAAATGTTCATTCTTCATGCATTTTGCTAATTCTCCTTTGAGGCAGTAAAGTACAAAAGACCATAGAATTTGTATTTCTTTCTTTCTTTTTTTCTTTTTTTTTAAATACAGTTTATAACATTATATTTTGTACTCTTTATATTAGAATTTGTAACTAGATTGATATATTTAACTCAGAAAAATTCATTCAGTTGTGTGATAAAAATATGTAGATATAACGTATTCTATTGGAATTTGAAATAAATAAAAGAAAACTCTTGGAGTTCTTGAAGTTTGTAAGACGTTTTTCCCCTCTCTTCAGAAGGTAGTTTAAATCACTGGACCCAAACCCAAGCATGTCTTTATCTGCAGAAAAGACCACATTGTTTTCATCCTGCCTGCCCCCCACCCCTGGGGAATTTGGTGTTTTGAGCGAACCCAGTTTTAGTGCTGTTTCTTTATATGAGTCAGAATTTTAGGATGACTCTCAGGAAAGTTCATCTAAAAGACACCAAAATAGCATATTGGAATTTTTTTCTCCCAATTCTCTTATGGGCTCCAGGCTGCACACATTTATTTTTGATTTTCATATCCCACCATCAGATGCACACACTATGCCTTTCTTCAATTATGTGCCACACAGGCCAGGTGGGAATGGGCACAGGGAGACCCCTAACCAGCCAAACCTGGGTGAAATGATTATTTCTGAAGAACCAGGATCCAGCGGTCGGGCCAGAGAGAGCTGGGCCTTCAGACTCACTAGACAGAATGGAAGCAAAGTGTAGTCTAAAGTTTAGTATTTAGTAAGGGGGCCAGTAAGCACTTGAAGCTGCTCCCACAATACACCAAGGTGTGGAACCGGCCCACAATGTTCCAAGGAGGTCCCACCTTTGCCAGTCTGAGCCCCACTGTGAGGTCACTGGTGGAGCACGAAGTTTATACCTTGGGTGGCGATGCTAAGTGCTGCTGAGTCGGTTCCCATTTGTAGCGACCCTGTACAGGGTTTCTCAGGAGCAACTGGCGTGTTCGAACTGCTGAAAACGGTATTTTGAGGAATTTTTCTGGAATTATTTTGGGTCTATTAGATGACCCCACCACTTTAGGATATGGGCTGATTTTCCTGGGGTGCTAGCTGTCGGTGGCCCCCTGGTGTCATCGAGAAGGGTGCTCTTCTCAGTTAGCCAATGACAGCCCAGATTCCTCTGTAGGGAGCTGACGGTTACCTGAACAGCTCAGGGCATGTGCTGTGGCAATTCCTGTGCTCACCTACTGGGGGCAGCATGGCACCATGGGACGTGTCACTCATACTGGGGGCACCTTCAGATAGCAGGTGGGATATGACCTTGTGGGGGCATCTCCAGGTAACAGGTGTGACCCTGTGGGGGTGCCTCCAGGTAACAGGTGTGACCCTGTGGAGGGCATCAGGTAACAGGTGTGACCCTGTGGAGGGATCTCCAGGTAACAGGTGTGACCCTGTGGAGGGCATCAGGTAACAGGTGTGACCCTGTGGGGGTGCCTCCAGGTAACAGGTGTGACTCTGTGGAGGGCATCAGGTAACAGGTGTGACTCTGTGGAGGGCATCAGGTAAAAGGTGCGACCCTGTGGTGGTGCCTCCAGGTAACAGGTGCAACCCTGTGGGGATACCTCCAGGTAACAGGTGTGACCCTGTGGGGGTACCTCCAGGTAACAGGTGGGTTGATACTGTGGGGGCTCCTCCAGGTAATAGGTGTGTGGATGCTTGCTCCAGGTGGGCCGGCATCCAGTGCTAGGTGGGCTGTAGGAACCCTGCCTTCCAGGTGCTCCTTGGCTACTGGGCACCAGGTGGCAGATGCTCTACTACGCTGGGTGCAAAAACCAGACTCAGTACAAGGCAGACACGAACACGAGCTCATGTTTACTGATGGGGCAGGCAAGCAGCTCACCGTCGTCCTGTAGCCTGCTCCTCTTGGTGACCTGATATCCTCCAGCAGAGCGCTGCCCGATCTTGTGGCAACTCACAGTCACCAGCTTGTTCGTCTCACCATGGGTCACCCCACCCTCACTGCACCAGACTTGACACCCTCCTCCTGGTGGCGCCTCTGAAGCCAGTGAGTCAGACAGTGTTCTCTGGGGATCACCAGGTCCTTCTTCCTTGTCTGCCTTTGTTTGGAAGCTCCACACAAAACGGGCCATCATGGGGTGACACTGCTGGTATTTGAAATACTGGTGGGAAAGTGACTGGCATGACAGCAACATGAAGCTGCTACAGTGGGACGCTGACTGCCCGGGGGACTGGTTTACATCAGTACCTTTCTCTTTCCAAGGGGGCTGCACACCTAATCTGCTCTGAGTGCTCTTACTCTCACTACTTAGAGGTGACATTTCGTTTTAAGGCTAAATGATGAAAATTAGACCCAGAGCGGCATGCAACAACGTGATGTATCATGAAAGCATGATGTTGAGTTAAAAAAAAAAAGTTCTAAGAAAGGACATATTCTATTTTTATAAGGTCCACATGTAAGAAAAACAAAACAATATATTTTGGGGCACAACCAATTGGTGGCCGTTGAGTCAGTTCCAACTCATGGTAACCCCCCTTGTGTGTCAGAGTGGAGCTAGGTTCCATTGGATTTTCTTTCTTTTTAACATTTTAAAAACAATTTTCTATTGAGAATTGGGTGAAGGTTCACAGAGCAGATCAGTTTTCCATTCAGCAATTCACACACATTTGCTTCATCTTACTGATTACGGTCTTCACAATGTACCGTCACTTATTACGAGGTGAATCCCTAGTGACGGGATTAGGAAGTGAAATGAAAGAAACCGGGGATGTTGGCTTTTCCCATGTCCTAGCGGTGCAGTGGTTAAGAGCTCAGCTGCTAACTGAAGGATCAATGATCTGAACTCCCCAGGCCCACTGCAGGAGAACGCTGAGACAGTCTCCTTCCCTAAAGATAGCAATTTTGGAAAACCTATGTTGTTGTTGTTGTTGTTGTTAAGTACCATCCAGTCAATCCCGACCCATAGCGACCCTGTACAGGGTATCCAAGGAGCAGCTGGTGAGCTTGAACCACCAACCTTACAGTTCAAATGACTTTGCAGTCTGAC